TGGACAAAAAAGGACAGAGTTGAACAGCAAAAGAGCTTCATACGTAAATAAAAAGATGGAGGAATAAATCCAACTCTAACTACGTACCGGCTACACTTAACAAAGCTGTTGTATTTTGCTGAAATTAGGATCTCGGAAAGCTTAATGGACCCATATTCACAAGCACAAGCTCAGGAAAATACTATGGAAGCTAGTCCCCCCGCATATTAACCACTAGATTCGAAACAACTTTGACTCCACTTACCCAATCGAAGGCTTTAAAAACTGGACGGGTGAGCGGAAACATATTTGACACAGCTTCATCAACAAAACAAAAATTACGCGAGCCTTCTAGAACTTAATCCTCTAAAAAGGAGCAAAAATGCTCGTTCCTTTCAGACAACAATTACGAGGACTATATCAACAATAATGAATTCATCTCCATTCAAAAGCACAAGCCACCATTTATTTGACATAAGACTTGCACTAATTTAGGGTTTAATACTGCTCAAATTTTCTCCACGATCGTCACTGCGATCAAATCATGACTGTAAACGCTGTGACAATTGTACAATGGCAAGCACCATTATAGCTCGCTGCCATGTCCTTCGAAGCATCAAACCTCAAATTTACTTGAAGCGCGCCGTCCTGACAAATGTTCTTTCAACCTAGAGGACAGGTGGTTAGCAGTTAGCTGACAACCCAGCTAAGTGATCTCTACTCTCCTGTCGAAGCTTTTTAAGATTCATGCACGACTGTCCATACACTTCGTCAATTGGGTATGACTTTTTTCTTCTGTGTTCAAGAACTGCGAAAAGTTCACAATCAGCTTGAGCGTTCGACAGAAGCGCATTCTGAACAGTTCCCAAGCCAGTTTAACCACCAGCATCCCTGCAATGGCGAGCGCGGTTATCTGAAAGCGGCCACATGGCGATGAGCTGTTATGACGAGGGCGTTGTAAAACTGCCACGGAGTCTACAAAAATGTATCGGCGGGAACAGCGATCATAAAGAAAAGAAAGTCAGTCAACAGCCTTCAAATTGATGAAGGTAATGTAGAAATTCGTACATCTAAAAATATAGGAAAGTTCTTAATTGGGAATTGCCGTTGTATAATCAAAAAATCCATTCTCCCACCACATTTACAACGGAATGAATGACACTTCGGTTAATCCAAACCGAATGACCCCGCTGAAAACCGGAGATCACCACATTCCAGTCTATCAAAATAAAAATCATAACACCTATCTACACGGACAACATCAGAAATGCCTCCCACGGGCTATGGTGCTAGATTCAAGCTCGCCCATGGATTGTAGACCATTACGATGTTATGCTGAATGCATGATGAAAGCGCCCCGCAATTTCTTTGATCAGCGCACTGATTAAAGAAATTGCGCAGTACCTTCAGGCAGTAGCGATTACGTAAGGCCTCCACGAGCTCGACGGTGATGGTAGATGATGTCATACTCTGAACACGGTGAGGGCAGTCAAAAAGGGCCTACTTCTACTCACCCTGGGCTACAAAACTTCGCTGCTGTGCGTTATGGGCTGAACGACATCTTTTGACCCCTCTCCCCCTCCACATGGCAATATCCCAAAGATTCAAACCTAGTGCTGGAACTTGCCGACTCCATCCAATCGCTACACTTGGTCACTGAGGAAAAGAAAATCGA